GTTTAGGGTTTAGGGTTAGGGCGGAGCTTTGCGGAGGGGTGCACGCTCCGAAGTAGGCAGGACTACGTGGGCAGGAGACCGAGGTAGCCGGGCTTAGGGGAGCCTTTAAGAGGCCCTAAACCCTAAACCCTNNAAACCCTAGACCCTACACCCCAAACCTTAAACCCTAAACCCTAAATCCTAAACCCTAAATCATGAACCCTTTTTCCCTAAACCCTACATCCTGAACCCTAAACCCTAAAACTTGCACAGCCGAGCCCCACTTGGAGGATCATGGGACACAGTAAGTATGGTTATAAGTACCTTAATTGGGGTTATAAGTAGTTATAAGTATAGTTACCCTAATAATAAGCTTAGTTACTAAGTCCTATTATCCTCTAAGCCCCTAAACTTTAGGGAAAAAGGGTTTAGGAAATTTGGGTTTAAGCCCCAATCTGAACAGGCCGGGCCCGCTGAACCATGAGAGTGTGCTCCGGCATCTGCTCTAGCTGAGGTGACAGGAAACCTCCACTTAGGGCTTCAGGGGTTTAGGGTTTAGGGTTTAAGGCTTAGGGTTTAGGGATTAAGGTTTAGGGTTTGGGGTGTAGGGTGTAGGGTTTGGGGTTTAGGGTTTAGGGTCTAGGGTTTAGGGTTTAGGATTTGGGGGTTTGGGGGGTTTAGGGCTTAAGCTTTAGGACGTAGGGTTTAGGGTTTAGGGTTTACGGTTTAGGGTTTAGGATTTGGGGGTTTTGGGGGTTTAGGGTTTAAGGTTTAAGATGTAGGGTTTAGGGTGTAGGGTTTAGGGTTTGGGGTTTTGAGTTTAAGGTTTTGGGGTTTGGGGTTTAGGGTTTTAGGGTTTAGGGTTCAGGGTTTCGGGTTTAGGCTTCAAGGTTTAGGGTGTAGGATTTAGAGTTTGGGGTTTTGAGTTTAAGGTTTTGGGGTTTGGGGTTTAGGGCTTTAGTGTTTAGGGTTTAGGGTTTCGGGTTTAGGCTTCAAGGTTTAGGGTGTATAGGGTTTACGGTTTGGGGTTTTGAGTTTGAGTTTGAGGTTTTGGGGTTTGGGGTTTAGGGTTTTAGGGTTTAGGGTTTAGGGTTTCGGGTTTAGGCTTCAAGGTTTAGGGTTTAGGGTTTAGAGAAACCCACAAACATCCGAGGGCTCGGGGCTCAGGGTTTTTTGGCTTTGGAGGTTTTGGCTTTTGGGCTTTGGGCTTTGGGGTTTAGGGCTTAGGATTCTCAAGCTTGCCGGGGGAATACGCCGTTCTTTCTACGATTTGCGGAGTGTGTTTTCATAAAGGCGTATCGGGCTCTCCGGGTAGAGATTGTAGGGTTTGCATAGTGCTTAGTTCGAGTATAGCATCTGGTTTTGGTAAGGTCGAAAACATGAGCTCTGTAGTGGGCAGCTCTGACATAGGATCTAGGCAGTCTTGGGCTTCTCCTGGCAATACAAGGGCCTTACGAACCAGAATAGGGTCTTGGGGAATATGTGATAGCATAGTCACATAGGGATAAGTGGCCCTCGCTACTAAGTACTCTGCCGCACACCAACAAGCGATGCTATCCTTACTTTGAGGTCCGGGCAGGAACCCTGGACCTTGAACTCCAAACTCAAAACCCCAGAAATCTTAAACCCTAAGCTGAAATACCGGGCTCTTGTTAAAGAACGGAATGTAAGTTACGGTAAGGACGGTGAAGCAGCACAAGGGTTACTGCTATCCCTAGTGTAGTAATGTAGATTTTTTTGGCTCCCTAAAACGAACCCAAAGTAGGAGTCTAGAGCCGAGGGTTTGGGGTTAGCTTTGGGAGTTAGGCTTCACCGTACCTAGTAGTGTAAGCGATGAACCCATTCAACAGGAGGATGATGCGAAAAACAGAACAGTTTAGTCCTTGCAGAAGCTGATGGTGATGGTGGCCGTAAGCGCTCGAACCAGGAATAGAAACGAAGAGCATTAAAATTCCAACACGACCATGGGACAAGGAGAGGAAAGAGAGTCGCCTGTTTTGAGCTGATCTTTAGGGTGTCGCACTTCAGGACCTTGGGGCTGACGAGGCCTGTTTCAGCACCTTCGTGTTCAGGACTCATGATTTATTTGTCGGAGGTTCACGCCCTGATGCCTGAACCCTCATGTCCCCACCCCCTTTATGTTCAGTTTCGGAAGTTAAATTTAGCCTGGTGGGTCTCGCACCAGGACTGCCGACGCAGCTCCGGCACCCCCTTGCAGGACCTCAGCCGACTGAGGGCGTGGAAGTTAGGGCGTTGGGGCCTTTAGCTTCACGGGTGCTGGTAGAGGTTCAGGATTTTGGGGTTATATGCTTAGGATTGAACTATTTCAGCACGTGGGGCCTCCGTGCTTATGGCTCAGATTTTATGACTCTAAGTCAGGGCTTAGAGCTGAGGGTAGTTGGATTCCAAAGAGCTTTTCCAGGGCATCCTGGAACTTGTGGTGTAGGGCTCAGGGCCTCGGATTCGCAAAGCCAATCTTCCTGCTATACATGCCTGCAACCCCGAATAAGAAAGCCCGAAACATCACAAACCTCAAAGCCCTAAACCTGAAAACCGCAAGCTCTGTAAACCCTGGACCCTCTTCGCCTCCTTAAAGGATCATGGGACTTAGTGACTAAGTTTACTATTTGGGTAACTACATTTATAACTACTTATAACCCAATTAAGGTACTTATAACCATACTTACTAAGTCCCATGATCATCCAAGTCTTCCGTAAAGTCTCAAGGCTGAACCTGACACCCTACACCGCAACCACTGAAACCCGACCTTCCAGCATCCGCTCCTGCTATGAATAACAATAGTGGTAATGGTAATAGTAGTAACGAGGATACAAACAAAACATGAGATCAAATAACGATAAAAGAACAGAAACCAAATTACAAACTAGAAAATTTAGAATAACTGTACCTGAAACTTGAATAATACTAATAATAATAATAACACTAATAATAACAATAATAATAATAATAGTAGTAATAATAATAATAGTAATAATAATAATAATAATAATAATAGTAATAATAATAATACTAATAGTAATAATAATAGTAATAATAATAATAATAATAACTGGACCTGGAACCCTACCATCTAACCTGGGAGGCCCCCGCCGTGGAGCCCTGATGGTGAGGGTGCGCCCAGTAGGTTCCCGGGGAGTGATCGGCGAGGATCCGGTAGTCATACCTTGGAAATTTTGGGGTTTTGGGGGTTTAGGGTGCTAGGTATAGGGTGTTTGGGTGTAGGGTTTAGGGTTTAGGGTTCAGGTTTTAGGGTTTGGTGTGTTTTGGGGGTTTAGGGGTTTTGGGGGTTTTGGGGCTTCGGAGGGCCTAGGCTTAGCAGGGCTCTGAGGCTTCAGGGTTTAGGGGGTTTTGGGGATTTGTTTAGGGTTTAGGGTTTTGGGGTTTGGTGGTTTTGGGGTTTAGGGTTTGGGGGGTTTTGGGGTTTTGGGGTTTAGAGTTTAAGGTTTAGGTTTTAGGGTTTAGGGGGTTTTGGGGGTTTGGGATTTGGTACCTCGATGTTAAAGGCGTCGGGGTTTCAGAACCCTTTGATGGTCCACGCGGCTGAGGGTTCAGGGTGCAGGGTTCAGGGTTTCGTGGTTTGGGGTTGTGGGGTCTGGGGTTTGGGGCTTAGGCTTACGGTTCAGAACTTCAGGGTATCAGGCCCTAAACCCTAAACCCTAAACCCCTACGGCTCAGAACTTCAGGGTATCAGGAATTACGATTCTTGGCTGCAGATTTCTGGGCAACATATCGAACCGCTAAGCCTCATCTCCCTAAACCCTCAACCCTGAACCCTAAACCCTAAGCCCTGAACCCTAAACCCTAAACCCTAAACCCTGAACCCTAAACCCTAAACCCTAAACCCTGAACCCTAAACCCTAAACCCCAACCCGAATACCAAACAAACAACCGACGCACCGCGGCACCCGAAGCTGTTTCAATCCGAGGTCCCCCCAGGTGAATCCTGCAGCAAACTGAAATCCTAAACCCCGAAACCCCGCGGTTTAGGGTTTAGGGTTTAGGGTTTAGGGTTTAGGGTTTAGGGTTTAGGGTTTAGGGTTTAGGGTTTAGGGTTTAGGGGTTTAGGGTTTAGGGGACTCCCCAGATCCCAACATCCCAGACCTCAGACCCTGAATTCCTATACACCAAAGTCCGCACAAAGCCATCCCTCAAACCAGAAACCCCTAACCCTAAATCCCTGAACCCTACAACCAGAAACTCTAAACCCGTAAGCCCTAAATCCCTGAATCTTACAACGAACTGCCAGGTAAGTCACACGGAGGACGTGCCCGGCCCCACTTTCGCAAAGACGTTGTCTGCAGGAGACTGGGGCGACACGTGAAGTCCTTAGCACAGGAAGATGGCTGTGGTACTACTGTTGATGATACAAATCTGCATTACCTTAAGGACCCTAAACTATAGAAATTATGCTATATTCCTTATTGTGCGTAATGCAGGATTTATATCGTCAACCCTAGGATGTAAAGCCCAGGATTTGAGGCTCAAAACGGCCTCGTTGGACGGTTTTGGAACCCTTCTGGGACCCCTCTTAAAACCCCAAAACCCTAAACCCCCAAGCCAGGCTTTAAGATGCCGGGCTGCGCATGAACACATGACCCACGCGGCACTTCAAAAAAAAATCTCTCTCCCAGAGAAAGCGAGCTTTAGGGGGGTGCGGAGAGTAGAGGTTTCTTTTTTGAAAGTGCAGTAGCCCCCCCCCCAGCCCCCCCGGGTTTAGGGTTTAGGGTTTGGATCCCCAGAATCAGTTTAGAGGTTCAGGGCTCAGGGTTTGCAGAGCTTGGGATTTACGGTCTTGGGCATTCGGGGTTGGTTTTGAACCTGCATGAAGACTCTGATCATGGGCTTAGCACTTACTTGAAGGAAAAAGGGAATTAGTAACTAAGGTGATTATTAGGATAACTATACTTATAGCTGCTTATAACCCAATTAAGGTACTTAAAACCATACTTACTAAGTCCCATGATCCTCCAAGTAGGCTTCGGAACTACGTAGGGCTTCGGGCCAGGTCCTGCTGAGCTGGATGGCAAAAACGTCGCTGTTTGTCATCATCTGCGTCATCCCCTGCTCATCATCATCACCGGTATCACTGTCACCCTCGCTATCACCACCATCGTCATCATCATCATCATCACCAGCATCACCATCACCCTCACATTCTTCATCACCATCATCAGCATTATCACCACCATCATCATCATCATCCTGGTCATCTTCCGCATCATCAAGAGACGTCGTCGCCGACCCACCAGCATGGGCAGTTCTATAAGACTACCAGTTGATGACAGTCTGCTCTCTAGTCACTGCGCTTTCTTATCGCCCCTCTCAAGCTGAGCGCCTGGCCGTGAACATGCAGGTTGGTGGTGTTCGGGAGCTGGTAGGTGTCACCTCGGGCTCAAGGCGCCTGAGTCTAGGAAGACCCCAGTGACACAATCCTAAAACTTACAGACCGAACCTTAAACCCTAAGCCTTGAACCTAAGCCCCAAACCTTAAACCCCAAACCCTCAACCCGTGGACCCTGAACCCTCAGCCCCTAACTCAAGTCAAGCCAGCCTTCGGGCTTGGGTTTCGGGCTTCTGGCACGCGAGCAAACCTCTGAGTCTGCCACTGGAGACGCTGCCCAAGGGAGCCTGATATGCGAACCACCGAGAGGCTCCAACCTAGACCGCCAACCTTCAGCAATCAAACTTCATCATCTTCTGCTTCATGGTCATCGTCAGCGTCACCGTGAGTGAGCGCATCAGTGTCGTCAACCATGCACCACCTTCGCTGCCAGCTTCTTTTTGCCTGAAACGTAGCCGAGTCGGCCGATCAGCGTGTCCGAGCGGACATGCCGCCGAGAATTCCAAGGCTCCTTTGCTTCGTTCTCTCGGCACACGATATGTGCTTCACAATCCGAACCAGCTGCACAAAGACTTACTGTACCATTCCGCAACCCCCCTCTCCGGACCCAAGAGCCCGAATCTTGAAGCCACTGCAAGACATCAGAGGAGCTTGGCTCCCAAAATACTACCGGCTTTGCAGGCACCGCTCACGGCAGCCCAATTCGCGACCTCCCTCATGGGCGACATCATCGCTGCCATACCTGCAGCGCGTCATCCTAAGCCTGTAGGAGCCCTAGAACTGTCTGGTGCTTAGTAGGGAATGGGGGAATGGATCCCTGTGATAGTCCCTTAAGGTCCCTTATGGTAGTCCCTATAACCCATTCCCCCATTCCCTACGAAGCACCAGACAGCTAAACCCTAAACCTTAAACCCTAAACCTTAAACCCTAAACCCTAAACCCTAATCCCCAAACCCTAAACCCTAAACCCTAATCCCGAAACCCTAAACCCTAAACACCAGA